TTTCTGTTTGGGTTTTGTGTGGATTAACCAGCAGATTTGCCCCCGTGGCATAACGTCCATAGCTGTGTTATTCTATAGAATCAGTATGTAGCGAGATCTTATTACTCTTTTGAGACTAGATGAAAGAAAGAAGTTGGCAGCATGAGCTTTTGTAGACTTAATTTTACTTCCTCATGCATTTGAAGACATAGACTGAAGAAGTCCATCCATTTCCATTCTGTCATAGCTCCAAGAGATATCTTTTTTTACCATGATCAACTCTAACTGACATCCATCACCCACATGGAAACTCCTATCCCATTAACAACACCCATATGCACCAAAATAGATTTGTGGATAGTTCTCTATTTTCAACTACTTTGGGGGGTTGCAGACTGCCAGAAACAGTGCAAATTGAGTCTACTTTTGGGGTTAGGGTTAGGGTTAGGGAATCATGGGAACTGTAGTTCATTGTGGCACCAGAGCTCTCTGACAGAGAAGGCTCAATATCTCAGAAAAAAAAAAAACACAATTCCCATGATTCCCTAGCACTAACCCTAACCCTAAAAGTGGACTCAATTTGCACTATTTCTGGCAGTCTGCAACCCCTCTTTGTAGCTGAGAAAATATGAATACATCTAATCCCTTTTATAAAATTTCAGCATGATTTTTGTTATAGAATTCATACAGATCTGCCGTGTGAGTGCTTACAGTGCAGGCATTCAGCAGCATTGTGACCTGAATAGCTTTATGCAAGAAACAGCTGGGACAAATTCTGTTCCAGCATAACTATTTGTTTTTGCAGCTCAGAAAGATTTTTGTCTTAGGAAGGGTAACACATTGGGATAAAAATGATATTTTGATGAATCATGGTCCATACAAGCTCAAGAGACACACATGGGTTGTTAGTAGACTGGCTTCAAAGTGTAGGATAAGAAGACTCTGGAATTTTCATTAGGATCTACAACATAAAAGAAGTGTACATGAAACCCTAACCCTGACTCTAACTCTACCCTCAGAATATGAAATTCTTATTGGGCTCAGAAAATATGACACCACACACTCAAAGTCATCTTTTTAAATCTTTGTGCATGCAAATTAAACATCATTGCATAAAAGCCATATAATCATCATGCTATGGGGACCACCTACTAATAACTCTAAAAGAACCCATCAGGCATTCCCAAAGTTAAATTGTAACAAGAATGATATTTAGTTCATGAGGCAACAGGAATTAGCATAGCAAACAACAATGCAGGTTCTGCTTCTTTCTGGGATCCCCAACGATTGTAGCCTTCAAGTAGTGTGGCTTCCTAACTCCTTTTTCAGAAATAAAACCAGCAATAAGGATCTTGCCCTATATTACTGTTTCATGCTTGTCTTGTTCCCATGGCATTTCTGTAGGAATCTCATCAGATTTTCCTTCCTTTCTCTCCTCCTCATCCAGAGGGATGCAGAAATGGCTCATGGGGCACAAACAGCCCATATGTTGTCCACCACTATCATATGATATGGACAATTATCCAGTGGTGGCATTGTTCAAGACTAGTGGGTCTCAAAATTTAGTTGTCCAACAAACCCCAGCCAGCTTGGTCAATGCTGAGTGATTCTGGAGGCTATAGTTGAAAACATGCAGAGGACCAAAGATTATAATCCACTATTCTAGGAGTAACCCCCTAAGCAGACGGCTTAAAGGGCCTTCTTGGGGGCAGAGAAGGGGAGGGGCAGCCGCACGCTTGGCACCCCAACCCCCTCCCGAGG